ATATATAAATATATATAAAAACATATATATGAATATATATATATTCATTCATATATTTATATATATATTTATATATGTATATATATAAATAAGTATACATAAAAAATATATGTATATATCTATATATATATTCCTCTCCTAAGGAAGAAGGTTTATGTTGCCAGGTCCCACGCTGGTCTGATTGGATCAGAACAACTGTGGCTGTTTGTCTTCTCATCCTTGGCCCAGACAGAGTGAACAGATCTGGGAACGACACCATAATGAGTGTCTGCTCTCATCCCTCCACTTCATTATCAGTGACTGTGAGTGAAAAGAAAAGCATTCTGTCAATGATCAGAGCCAGGCTGCTGTAATGATAAGACATCATTAATTTTTATTGGACGTCCTCGTCGGTCACAAACACACGATGTCACGTCGTCCTTTGTGTCAGGACAGGAAGTGAAAAGGAAAATCACAGGGGGACAAAAGCCAGAGAGGAAATTGAGGAGGCAACAGTCAGAAGAACACATGGACGGCAGTGTGTCGTCGGCATATAGAGAGAACCGACTGTACGTCGACCACACCTGTGGATTCAAAATGGCCCCTTCAGGTCATGGTGATCTATAACTATAACTATATAACAGATTTACTGGCCCTCACTTTTTATCACTGTGTGTGTGTGTGTACAGGCAGCGCACACACACACACACACACATATCAGGGTCAAATATACAGTACAACGTGTACAAATTGATTGGTTAAATAATGAAGTATATTCTGTGAGGTGAAATCAATACCATTAATCAGCAACCGGCGGGACGGGTGACTCCTCGACACACACACACACATTTATCACATGATCAATATCTGGACAAGCCAATGTTTGAGTCCTCAACTCCACCCTCACCCTAACTTTAATCTACTAACTGTACTAACCTGGTCACTAACTCCGTCTCAGCCTCCTTCAGTTTGGCCTTTACAGGCGGCGGGATCGAAAATCTATAAAGAAAACCTAGGTATATTTGTCAATAAAATCAGATTAAAATTTTTGAAATATTTGAATACATATATATACATTTATATCTTATATAAATATATAAGAATATATAATATATATAATAATAATATATAATATATATAATAATAATATATAT